GCATTTGCCGGTGCTTGCGGGGATGGTTGAGCCTGATCTGGTGTTGGGCCAGCGGGTACTTCAGGGAAAAAGGGCTGGTCTGGATTAGGAAACTCAGGGTTGGCTGGTGTGGGCGGTGGAGGCGAAGGCGGTGGTGGGACTGACTCCGGCGGGGGTGCTGCAGTCACTGGGTACAGGGGTTGGTGTAGAATTCTCCTCAGCTTTTCGCGTGCAATCAAATCTTGAGACACATGGCCTGCAGCGGATGCTTTGGGGGACTGGGTTGTGAAAGATGCAACCAGTGTTAGAGTCAAAAAGATGCTGATACGTCGAGCATTCATTATGATCCTATCTCTGGTTTCTTTAGTCTTCGCCAATTCATCTCTGATTTTGTTTATCAGCTCCCGGTGGTCACCAAGCTGGAGAGAGAAGTAGCGAGTCTGTAAAGAGAAGCTTCTCTTTGGCTGCAAGATCTGATGCTTGCTGTTAATGGTTTGATGTCAGCAGCAGCCGCTGTTTCCTTCTTTTTCCAACTGTGTACTAAAATTTCTTTATGTGCTAATAAAACTTGGAAATCAAACATTCCGTAAGTTTGCAGTGGAAAAAAAGAAATAAAAAACCCAAGAGGGAGATGAGTTTTCTTGGGGAACAGAATGCCACGTGGCGAAGAACAACTGACTTTATCAGTACTTTTGAGATTGAAGGACTATGATGGCCATGTCGTGTTGGGGCTGGAAAGACCACGTTCAAGCCCTTTTTTGTCCGAAGCATAATTTATAGTACTACTACCTATTTTGTGGAGCTGAAAAGAGAATGTCCAAACTAGAGGATTTAGTCCTCCTTCTCCTCCTCCTCCTCCTCCTTGTTAAAAACGGTAATTGCACGTTGGCATCGTTTTCTTTTATTTTCTTTTTTTTTTTAAAATAATAATTATTGTATAATTTAATTTATCCTATGTTAAGAGGGAAGGGGCGGACCTAAAAAAATAATCCGAAAGGAACTAAACTACTATCGAACCAAACGAATGCACTACGCATCTGCTTGAATTTTTTTGAATTCAAGTCACTTTAAACGTGGTATTTGATGGGAGGTAAGGTTACACCAAATTTTAATGCCTGGGTGGCACCGTTTTCTTGTCTCCATGTTTGACGTTTGCCTCGCACCCCCCCCCCCCACCAAGCTTTAATGGCTGGGGGGTAGCACCGTTTTCTTTTCTTCATGTTTGCCGTTATAGTCGTACGTACGCCCATCCGTCCCAAACTCTACCCTACCCACCTTTTTCTTATGTCCGTTTCATACAAGCTGTAATCTCACTACCGTGATCATCCACGTGTCATTTCCATAAATTTCATGGTACTCGTGACGGCTGGGATTCTACGCGGGTAGTTTACGTCAAATAGGGCAACAAACCTCTGTACTGATGATTAAGGCATGCACGTAATAAATTATTACTCCCACCATTAATTATCATGGCTGGCTGTAAGATCCAAGGAAATGAGATTTGATGTGCGTTTTATTGCAGGATTAGCGTTTTTTTCTCCTCATCTTTCCAAAATGTGACTCTGCCAGCAGTCACGTCTGCCTCCACTGACGAATCTAGATTTCTAGCGGGGATCGGCGAAACGGCCCAAAGCACTAGTCCAGCGGCATATGCTTTTTTTTTTTGTTTTTGTTTTTGTTTTTGGCTTCCTGCTTTTCCTTTACACATCTTTTTCACTTTTTCTTGGATATATATATATATTGGTGTTTTTATTGTTTGGACAGTCCCGGTACTATCGTTTTCATCATAACAGGCCCAAATTGCTTTCTGGCCTTTCTACCAAAAAAAAAAAAAAAAAATTTTTTTTCTTCAGCCCACTCTTTGGTTGGGACCAATTCGTTCTAAGAAATAAAATACCAATTGAAGTATTGAATGGGCATAAAATGGCCGCATGGAGAGAATTATAAAATAAACGCATTCATGATAATTACGCCGGTTATTTCTCATCATGGTCACTTCAACAAAAAGCTTTTTAGTCTCGCATAGTTGTTTCATTGGACTGTGTATTTGTCTCTGGAGTCGAATGATTAATTTCTCCACCAGAAAGGAATATGATCTAGAGTGTTTCTGACGACAGACTTCTTGCCTACACAAATTATTTCTACGCCACCAGTGCAAAAAAATCTTGAACATTTTATTTTTTTTTTTAATATAAGAACCAAGCCTAATGAGTAGAGAAGTTCGTTGATAAAAAATTGTCGGTGTTGAGAAGCTGATTTTTTTATTTCTATGCAAGGCCTAGGATCTTAGCTCTAAACTCTAAAAGCCCACCGCGACTGACTTTGTGCCATGAATCAATGATGTGACCATTATTGGAGAACAGATTTAGATTGACAGAATAGCTAATTCACTTGACATGACGGTCGACGGAGATAGCATCCAGGAGAAAAAGAGCGTGGTGATTATTAAACTATGGGATAATTTTATAAGCCTCCCTGAGATTTCTAGCAATTTCAAAGAGCTCCCTTGAATTTTTAAAAATTCCACCTATTCTCGCTAATTTAACGCTTTTGGTGATCAAACTTTAAGGCCCCATTTGGCAATTGAGTTTTTTGGGTGTTTGTCAAAAAATTTACTGTAACTTACGATAGAAGTTTTTGAAAAAATTTGTGAAGTGTGTAAATTTTTGAATATTTTGAAATTTATAGTTTAAAAACTATGAGAATTTTTTTGTTGTTACCGTAGCTAAAGTTTTTAAAAAACTTGTAGCAGATAAACTTGACAAAAAACTCAAGTGCCAAACAGGACCTAAATTTGATCAAAATTTTAAATGAATGCGCTAAAAGATCCACAGCTTATAAGGTTTGAATTACTTTCCAAAGCAGCCGTAACATATCTAACACAAATATAAGGAAAGAATTTGAATTTTTTTAATACCATGTTTATTGTTGATAAGCAATTATGACAAAAAGTTCTATTACTATGATGGGTTATTTTAATGGTGACTTAGTGGATATCTATATACATATATATATTTTTTAAATTAAAAAAAGAAAGGATTGTTATAATTCTTTTAGAATTTGTGGACTTTTAGATTGGTAAAACTATCATAGTTTGGTAGTAGTCTTTTGAGTAATTTCTTTTTGAACCAGTGTTTCTTTTGATACCAATAAAGAAAAAAGATCGACAAATAAAAATTAGATCACATTCAAAGTCATCAAAAAAACAGAAAAAAAGTCGCTAGTTCAACATTTAGTGGTCAGAATTTATATTTTATCTATTCATACCCAACAAGGTAAGTTTTATTAAGATGTTAAAACTAGTAGCATTATCATTTTAGGTGGATAAGAAAGATGAGTATAATTTTTAAAACTTCAAGGAGCTCAGCAGAAATTTCTGAAATTATTACTTTAGACTTTTCTTACGTCAATTTTCTTAAGTTAGAGCCCTTTTTCTTCTTTTATCTCATACCGTTGCGACATTAAGGCCTTGTTTAACGATGAAAGAACCTTAAATGAAGTTCCCAGAGCTTAAGATCCAGTCTCTGGATGTCCCACAACGCTGTTAGTAACACAAAAGGTATATCAGACACGATACTGTATTTTTACTGATGTTCTTTGCTTCAGGGGCAACGAGAGACAAGTGGAACGTTGCGGAAAAGGAGAAAACCAGTGTGCTTTTACTTTATGAATGAATGCCTTTGTGGGCAACTTTCACCCTCGATCTAATTATGTGAGAAATGTTCTTTCTGTACTCCCACCATCGATTTATCTTAACCTGCAGCCTGTAGGGTTCGTTGTGCTCTTGTATCTTAAATGCTTGAAGCACTCCAATAGAGGGTTGAAGATGCAGCAGCCTGCATGTTAATTTGTCCCCTACACCGCCAAAGCTAGCGATATGCAATTGAAATAAAACTAGGATTTTGTATTACGAGGTCAAGGAGGCACTTGACAACAGTGGTGTAGGAGAAGTTAGTAATTGAAAAAATTCCTGTATTGCTCTCTTATTTCCTTTTTTGAAGTTTTTATAATTTATTTGTCACCGCCATTCTTCTTCTACTTTATTTGGAGATCTTAACAAATACTACCACTTACTACTTTTTGAGGCACTAATATGCTCCGTGTTTTTCCTGCTTAAAGTTTAATGAGCTTGTTAAGGATAGCATACTGGAATAGTGATGAAAATTCCATTATCGTCCTGCACGTCAAGCATCTACTTTGCTTCAGCAGCGTACATAATCATCAACGGCGGCAGGCAGATGCAAAATAGCTGCTCGTGCTCGATTACCTTTTCTGTTCGATCTACTAAGAATCGGCTGGCTTTGAGCATAGGACTCTACTTGCCTTCGTCATCCTCCGTAACAAATATTAGGCACTGTCTGGTAACCACATTCAATGTTTAAAGTTAATAAATTCAGATTTTAAAATGTTTAGATGTATTTGATAATAAAATGATTGATAACAAAAAAATCCCCTGTAATTTCAAAACCTACAAAATGACACCTCATATTTTGAACTAAATTGTAAACTAACAGAATTCGTTAAACTTAATGGAATATGGTAAATTTAACGAAATTCGGTAAATTTAACGGAATCCGGTAAGTTTAACGGCAAAAAACCGTCATTTTCGTTTAACGAATTCTGTTAATTTACAATTTTGTTCAAAACATGAAATGTCATTTTTTATGTTTTGAAACCACGGGGGGCTTTTCCTGTGTATTAGGTATATCACAGGAGGCTTTTTTATTTTAATCCTAATAAAAAATTAAACATCTGATTTAATTAGGTGATACTGAATTTTTTTGGGTAAAACTTATTTCAAAAAATAAGTGATAAGTTACTTTTTGTTTCAGAGACCATTCGAAACGTAACAACATAGCCATGGAATGAATTTATTTCTGGCCCTACAGAAATTAAAGAGTGAAAAGTTTATGTGCTCTGGAATCTGGATGCAGCAAAAGATGAGATTCAAAAAAAAGGGTAAAAGCGAGGTTACTGCTAGGATGTGTTCTGTCCTGGAGTGGACAATACGAAACCTTTGAATTCCCTTTGTACAAATTAGAATAATTCCAGGGAAAAAAAAAAGGGCAGTTCCAACTCGCACGACAAACACGCCTTTGGCATTGCTTCTTCTGACAGTTCAATCAGTATCGTCCCAGGACTCGTTGCCGCATTTTGTGCAAGTATACGGATCCACAGTTGTTGAAGTGTGGTTTTTTCCGTCCGAGCTTGAATTGGATCTTGATCGATGATTTAAGATCCCAATAAAATTTTAAATCAACTGCTCTGCTAGTACAAGTGCAGCTGCGAAAGGATCCGAATCTGAAAAATACCACCAGGAAGCTCTCCGTAGGCCGTTTCTTTTTTTCTTTTTTACAAAAAAAAAAAAAAAAAAAAAGGGGTCCAGGATGTTGAGAGATGTCACCTGCACTTGCAGGTTGGCACAGACGTCGGAACATCATTTGGGCCCACGAGAGGTTAGCTGTCAACTGGCTCAGTAGTCCCATCTTTACTGATGCCCTTTCCGAGGACCCAATTCTTCTATGCACAGTTTGGGCCCAAACGGTTTATCCATTTGAGCATCCAAGAGCCGGGGGGGAAATGGTTGGACCTTTCTAACCCCTTTGTTCATCGTGGCCTCGTGATCATTTGATGCTCCCCGCTGGCTCGCAAGTCGCAGCTACCAAGGACAGACAACAGCTGGATTCAGAGACTAAAATCGCTCTGGAAAGAAAAGCTAAAATGGTCTGTAAATATCAAGGACTGTGCAGAAATTAAATCCTTAATGTAATAATTGGACCAAATGTTATGTTAGCAATCAATTGTCTCGACTTGGTGGAGTCAAATAATCAAGAATGAATCCATTGGCTTGATGCTACGCTGCCTGGATTAGAACCGTATGAAAAGGTATGCACTTCCCACGCCCAATGCATGTGGTCTTGTTCCACGCGTCCCAGTATTCCACACCACGACTCGCCTTTTGCCACCTCCGACGCTACTTATAATCTTCCGCTGCTCCTCGTACCGATTCTCTCTTCAATCTTCAATCGAGAGAATACTGCGGTTGAAAATTTTGGTTAAGTCCGATTCCACTTCCGAGGGACACTCTCATTTTAAGTTCCACACTCCAGTGCTTTTATGCAGGTAACTGCTCCGGTCACGCTTTTAAGAATTAGGACCACATTAAAATTAGCTATTAATAAATCTCATTGTGGTCATGATAATATTATATTATTATTGTACTTCGATCTTTGTAGGCCAAAAATCTTACCTTCGTACACGAGGTCGAGAAACAACTTTGAGCCTGAGAAAGCAGGCTTCCTACTTCTTGGTCTTCCAGGAGCTGGAGTCGCTTCTTTGCTTGCACATTCTACTCTCTTTTGCTGAGAGATGATCAAAATGCCGAGGCTTTTCTACTTGTTCTTCATCTCTTTTGCTCTATATGGTAAGCACCAGTCATCTTCCATCCAAGAAGTACATCACATAAATGTGCCGAATGTCTCGATATTGAAGATGTAAAAAAAAATTTATTTTCGTCGCAGCATCAGGTCAAGAATCATCAGTTGAGCTATTAAAGCTCTATGACCGCTCAATCCCGGTGAGTCGAGAGGCTTTGTCTCGGACAGCTGCTGTGGTGCCAAACGAGCAACTCAAAGAGGTTTCCAGCAGCATTCTCATGGCTGAAAGTTGGACCAGGGCACATGTTCTGGCTCACTACCCTGGCATTAACATTACCACCATTGTTGTTGGCCACACTCTCCTCTGCGGGAAAGGCCAAGAGGAATACTTAACTTTGATTTTGCCATCATTAAAGAACATCCACTACACTCTCACCAGGTGGGGTTTGCATCAAGAAATCAAAGTCTCTGCTTCTTTCTCTTCCAGCTGTATGCACCCAAATGCGGGAACATTCAGGTCTGACATAGCAGAAACACATATTAAACCCCTGCTAAGCTTCTTGCAACACATCAACTCACCTTATTTAGTGAACCCACCGTCACACTTTCCCACATTGTCAGATAATGCCAACATTTTGCTCGACTCCCACTTAGAGGCCATGGAAAATCTTGGCTTTTTCAACCTAAAGAAAGTCCATGTTATAGTCAAGGAGGCAAAAGAACCAAAGCCCACAGGCAGAAAGCTTACCTTCATTCTTGATAACACAGAGACTATAGAACCATTCCCAGCAAGACCAACCCCATTAGCCCCAGCCGTTGCCCCTGTGGGTTCCTGTGCCCCATCACATGCTGCCGAAAGCCCACTTCCTCCATGGCCTGGAAAGGTTTCGCCTACACCATCGTCCTTCCCCGTTTCTCCTGAACTTCCTCCAGTGATTAATCCTGCCAACCCTCCTTATGGTCTTCATTTACCTCCCTGTAATCCATCTGGTGGTGGAGGTAGTGGTGCAGTGGCTGCACCAGTGGCAAGTGTGAGGAGGGGGCTTTGGTGTGTGGCAAAACCGAGTGTGCCCCCAGAGACATTGCAAGATGCTCTAGACTATGCTTGTGGTGAAGGAGGTGCTGATTGTGAAGCCATTAGGCCTCGTGGGAGTTGTTATTATCCTAATACCGTTACGGCTCACGCTTCTTATGCTTTCAATAGTTACTGGCAGAAAACCAAGAAGAATGGTGGGACTTGTGGATTTGGAGGAACAGCTATGCTTATCGACTCTGACCCGAGTAAGGATCTTCCCCTTGTATCTGATAATCTAAGAGTACAAATCTTTTATTGAACTTGTTAAGGTTAAATGCATTTCTTTGCAAGACGCATATAATACTCAGTTTAAAACTCCTCACAACACAATATTTAGTACCACTTTCTTTGCGCCATGCTTTGTAATCTTTCTCAAGTATTCACGAATTGCTAGATCTTTATTTTACCAAAAAAAAAAAAAAGTATTCATGAATTGCAATTGATACTCGAGTGCACATTGCAGGCTATCGCCATTGCCGATTCATTCTTGCCCAGTGAGATCGGTAGAAGTTGGGGAAGCACACTGCTTGGGTTCAGTGAGTTTTGTTCCATGTAGATTTCGGATCAAGGTAATCGTTATGTTGTAGTCTTTTTCTAGTACTGAAAAATGTGGGTTGTGGAAATTTTGCTTACCTCTTTCTTGTCATGTGGGGGCACCCAAGGCGAAAGCAAGGCTCTTTATCACCTTTTATGTAGGCTTGATTGTATGCTAGCCTTGTAGTAATTAAGAAATATACCTTGCTTTACCGCCTTTGTGACTGTATTCCGTTAAGAATCCTAAATGCCCTATTTCTAATCTGAGTTATACACGAAATTCACTTATGTGCATATTTGGAAGAAAAATCAAATTATATCCAAATGAACTATCAATTGGTCTTGGTGCTGGAATTTGAGCCTTCAAACCCCAGTTGCGGGGATCTCTCGGTCTCCGGTTTCTTGGCGGAAAAAAGAAACAAAACTACGTACAAGTCAAGCTAAATTAGGTGCTCCGGGCATTTTTTTTTTTATAACAAAACATATTTCAATAACGAATTGCTGAAAATCGTCCAGCACGATTGATATATATCGTTACCCTAATGGCAAAGAAAACATGCACTAAAATTTTAAATTTGTAATTTAACAGATACAAAAGATCTGAGAAATTAAGAACAGATCTAAAAAGTATCATCAATTTTAAAATCATCTCCTCGTAGAATAAATTTCTGCAACATACTCTGTGCATGTTGCAATCGTCAAATCTACTAATCAACAGTTGTAAAATCCAACAAAGCTTATAATATATGCTGACATAGATCCAAATCTGAAATAAATTCAGATTTGACAATCAAATTTGAAGTAAATTCAAATTTAAACAACGAAATAAGGAAAAATAACACAAAATCTCACTAGAAACTCCTAGGAGAACAAAAATTTTCACTAGGAACGCAATCTGCTCTTTCAGTCTTGTGTGTTACAATTTGCAATTTACAGGAAAGTTATCAACTTCAATCTACGATATTTCATCATAGAAACTTCATTCTAGGACCTTTCATGGCAGGAGGATCAGAGATCATTTGAACAGTTTAACTGACTTGTGGGAAGAAGAACCACTGCGGTATTGAGAATTTTGCCGCCAGATTAATATATCATCGCCGCGCATGCAAGCAGCAAAGACTCGTATATTATAGCTTCAGATCAGCCAACTTTGTCGAACATGCACATCATCCTCAACACTTGTTTCCATTTTGTATCCAATAAACAGATACCATAAATTGAACTTTGACAGTCACGGAAGCATTTGAAAAAAAAAAACCCCGGAAGCATCAATATAGTTGAGTTACAAAGAAGCTCGAATTAAGATGGCGAGGTGAATTGCATATTAATTCAAGATAATCAATGTACTACATTTACAGACACGTTTAGCTAACCAATCAGAGAGTTGAAATCTAAATTCCTGTTTGCCAGCGGTCACACTCATTGATGCTTTTTGGCAAGGCCATTCTCCTTGTCACTCTGCACAAAATTTCCCTCTGCGTTCTGCAAAATGGAAGAATCAAATACAGATTCTTGACACTAAAACAAAAAATTGATACTGAGAATGACACGCCATTCGGACAAGTCATAGAAGTGCAGTCATACTCCATATAAGATCAGTATTTTACAGGAGCCATATAGTTGCATCACTTCTGATGAAAAATTTTTAGTACAAGTATCTGAGGGCGGCTGAAACATACCTTATGACTCGGACCTTGAGCCGACCACAATTCGTAGAATTTGCGCATTAGCACTTGTTCCTCCACCTATAAACCAAAAATATGGAAAATGCAATCCAAACACGACCTTATACTTCCTAAAAACCACCGGTGACAAGTGCTGTCAAATTAGCTTCATTGGGGCATTACTACAAGCGGTTGACGTTCGAAGCACAATTTTTCAGTCCATGAACCAGCAAAAGTGAGCACCATCATTCAAGTCTAAGACACATTACACACATACTAAAATCACGGCAACGAAATTCTGAGAGAAAAGAATTGCTGGGAGCTAGGCATAAATGAAGAAAAATTTGAGAGAGGAACGAGAGCTGCGTATTGCCATTCGTAGCACACGGGACGGGACACCATGTTGCTCTCATGCAGATTTCTGACGGTAATGAAGGATTGGAAACATTATTATTATTATTTTCTTAGGCTCAGAATGGGGTAGGCCCAAGCAGCCAATCTAATGAAAGTTCTGGGCTCTCTTGTACTGCCTAGTTTTATTTTGGCCCAGCGTGACTCTCTACTTAGCTTTATGCCTGCGGCTCCTGGAATGGGTCCTGACGATATGTTAAGACCCACTGCCAAAACAAATACGTCCAAAGTCAACATTAGCGAATTGACTGTGAGGTGAGGTTAATAGTTCAATTTGCAAATCTTGTTCTCATTTTCACGGCCTAGAGTAGAGTTTCTTGTCACAAATATGTTTTTCATGCTTCATAAACTTTTGTTTTGTTTTTTGGTTTTCTGGCCCAATGAGGATGATGATAAGCAGATAATGCAAGCTAATTCAATGCCGCCAAATGGAAGCCGGGGGTTCCTTTCAATTTTTCTTTACATTTTCTTTCCCTTCATAATTTTTTTTTTGGGAGGGGGATGGGGAAAGTGTGTTTTGGCAAATTGGAGCTAGGAAAAGATCATTAAATCTGCTGCGGCGGCGGCGGCGGCGGCGGCCTCGCTGGATGTTTCATCATCATTGGCATAAAATGATGGTGAGTGAAAGTGGTCCTTCAAATTCACTCTTTGCATTTTAATACTACTCCCCAGTATAGTAGTAAAGTATACAATACAAACATGCATCAAATTATTCTGCAAAATCTCTACCTCTGGTTACCAAATAATGAGGATAATAAAGGAAGAAGCTCTGTTTGCATCAATCGTAATTCAGTCCTAAAGCATTGACATCTAACTTCACCGCTCTATTTCAATTCATGCCTTCCCAACCGACGAGTTGTTTTTTTTTTAACTAACATCATAACGTTGTTGATAAGTGAACTAAAAACATGCACTTCTCAAAAAGGAAAACATGATGCTGTGTAGCAATCTGCTAAAGTTTACAGGCAAGAGCAAAAGGGTATGAGAAATAAGATTGATTTCTTCAGTTTTACCAACTGGGAAAGCGTAATTGTTGCTACCTGCACCGGATGGGATATAATCACATGAACCAAGAATATACTCCAAACAAGGACATATCCAAATCTGATGCTGAGTAGGACCTCCTTGTTGCCTCTGATCTATGAGAATATAATCTAATCCGGACGGATATTGGAGTCATTCATTCATTCATCTCGCCTTTCAACAAATTCTTTGTCTGCTTTCTGTTTCTTATTCCTATTGGCCGACAACTTCTTTAAGCAATTCTACCACCAAAAGGGGGGGAAATTAAAAATAAAATAAAAATATTGAAGAAGAAGAAGAAGAAAGAAAGGCTAACTTCTCCAAATTCCAAAGAAAAGAAAAAAGGGGTTCACCGCCTAATTCTTTTAAAGAAACCCCCAATAAAAGCATTTCTACAATTTCCCCCAAACTAAGCAACTTCTCACTGAATTTGGTCTCCCTGTCCTACCAAAAGGTCTTTTGGATTTCAATGAAACGTTCGAACGTGTCTGTAACTTTATTAAAGATTCTCTCTCTCTCTCTCTCTCTCTCTCTTTTTTTTTTTTTCCGCTTGCATTGATCATGATATTATCTTAAGGAAAATAATTTTTTTTAAAAAAAAAAAAGAAGCATGACACATTCTGGTTAGCACAAAGGAAATGCAGAACAATTATTACTTTTGGAATTTAAATACTAGACTAAGGTATCACTTTAAAAGCAAGCTAACACCTCTGAAGTGAGTCATTAGACTCATTACTGTGACTGGAAAGGTGAAGGCGGCTGATACTTTTGCAAATGAATGCGCAAACCAGAATCGATCACGCCATTGGGGGGGGGGGGGGTCAAGACCTCAGAAACAAATCCAAATCATCAAGAAGGTCAATGATTATTGACTAGTAGTAGTAGTAGTAGTAGTATGTGCTTTTTTCCTGGACTGAAATATGATAGTAGTAGATTTTATAGGATGCATGTGAAATCAATCTTATTCAATCTCATTGGTTCTTTAGGAGGAACTCAGACTAGAATGATTATTCATTGGCCCCCTGCTGCATTAGATTTAGCCATCGCAATTGTGTATAACATGAGAATCTGTGTCCATGTGATCCACTTAATTCTACTAGTATACTACTAACAAGAATCAGCATCTTTTTCTGTCAAAACTTTTCGGTCTCAGTAGTTTCTTTCTGGGGCGGGTCGACTGTGCCGTGCCGTCTTTATTCAACTTGACAGTTGAGAGGAAAATTTTATATATATAATACTAATCTTTTCCTAACCGCAACTAACCTTAAATCAGCTGTCTTTGAAAGTTAATATGAAATCAAAAGTATTGTATCAGGAGTCGCTCTGAATAGCTGAGCTAGTAAGATTTCAAGAGCAAGTGCATGCCCCTAAGGCTGCAAACGGCCAGTAAACGAGCACGAATCCGAACTCAACTCGAGTTCGATCAACATCGAATTCGAGTCGATATTGAGCTAACCAAGTTAAACTCGAGTTTAAAAATATTAAACATGTTAACTCACGAATCGGCTCGAACTAAATTATATATATATATACACATATTTTTTTTATTTTTTATTTTAATAATAAAATTATATATATATCACTAATATTTTATTACTTATTAAGAAATATTATTATTTTATTTATTATTTTAAAATAAAATAATTATTTTTTTAAGCTCAAGCTAGACTCAAATTTGAGTCGAGTTCGAACTTTATATTTTGAGTTCGTCGAACTCGAACTTCATAAACTTAGGTTGAGACTTGATCCGATTATGTTAAAATTCGACTCAGTTCAGCTCATTTGCTCCCCTACGTGCCCCACCAAGTAACTAAAATAAATAAAAGCCAAGTTTGTTGGGGTGAGTGAAAATTTATGGCAGTGAAGGAAGAATTGGATAATTCTCGAGAAGCTTGTGAATTGCTGGGCCACATGTTACCTTCGAATTGGACTATCTATATATACTTTTCCAGAAACACATTAATGCATTTGGGTAGCTTTTCTTTTTCGTCAAATTAGTAAAATACTATGCATGCATTTGGGTGGCTTTCCTTACTTGTCAAATTAGTAAAATACTATGCACGAATTTATATTTTAAATTACTATAGTATTTTATATATTATAGTATATAAAAGCATACGGCAATTGCTAAAACAATTCAAAGACGTGTATGTTAACATGCTTTAGAAAAAACTTCATGAGCACAAAGTGCACTTTTTAATTTTGATATTTTGAATAAGTTGAAGCCTTTTTTTTTTATTTGTTGTCTGTAAATATCTTATGACAATTTCAATAAAATTAATTAATTGATAACATTTTACATGATAGAGTAATTATAAACCTATTTACCAATTTCCAACAAAAGATATTGTGTTATAGCCATATATCAAATTTTATAATATAATAAATAAATTAAAACTAGTTCGTTTCCCTGTATTTTAGAAAAAAATTTCTTTCTCCAATCTTGCACCCCTAAAATTATTGAGTATATTTAGGTTAGATGTATTGTACTTGAATCTGTATTTTACCTCCAAATTGAAGAGATAAATTTTGAGAAAAATAAAATTTCCCAAAACTTGGAATTTGCTTTTTTTTTTTTTACATTTTTCAAGCATACTTGCTTTTGCATTTGTCAAAATAAAAGCACCATGTTTAGTTATTTTTAGTATAAGTTTGGATTCAATGGTGTCAACGTTTCGAAAGAAAACTTCTTCAGTTGAATCTATATTCAACCTCCGATTTGAAAAGATAATTTTGAAGCAAAAAGAAAAAAAAAAACCATAGCTTGCTAATTGGTTTAACATTTTTAGAATATACTTAACTTTACTTTCCATAACATGGAAGTCATATAAAACTAGAAGTCAATCACAATGGTGGTAAGTATTAGCATATGAAAAATGCAAAAGAAAATTTGATAGTATCTTATAATATCCCTAGTAACCATATGGCGAAATAAAAAAGATTTGGAATATAAAATTGACATAGTAGTGTTGCATACTTATATATGAAGAAAAGAACAAAAATATACAAAACAATCAACAATGCCTAAAACTATTCTTAGTGGGTTGAGTTTCATGCTCTTATTTATATCTACCAAGAGCCAAATTTGGATTAGATATATACAAAAACTAAATACGTATGATTTAGAATCAAACGTTCTACATCTTTTCCTTAAACTATATTGTCACGTATTTGTTATTTTTAGTGGGACTAGTGTTGTTTTTATTATTATTTTTCATCAAAAATAAAAATTTTGCGTTAAATTTTTCACGTTAAAGGCCCATCGCGATATTGTTTTTAATTTAGACTTCATGAAAGGTACAACTCTTGATTTTTTAAAATTCATAACCTTTGACTATTATTTATTTTTTATTTCCTATACAATTTGACTATTTTAGTTAGTATTACTAAGTTGAACGGTAAAATATTATTATTATTTTTTTTAATTTTAAATAGGGAAGGTGATGTTTTTAATTTATTGATCCACTCGTGAATAAATTTCAAGCCAAATTCTCGTATTAGTGGAACCACTTTTTTATTCTTTTAAATTCAAAAGGCATGAAATGATTTTTAAGAATTAAAAAAGACTCAATATTTTATAAAAAGAGAATTGGGAGTTGGACTTGCTAAAAATCCTTTTTGCATTTTATATCTAGGATTTTCTGTCTAGGATTTAAAAGCATCCACGACTGCATTCACTGCAGCATGTGACGGGAAGTGGGAACTGCTGCATTTTTGGTGTAAGAGAAGCAGTTGTTTTGACCGAGTCCGAAAGGATGTCCGACCAATTCTCGTGGACAGAATCTTTCTTACTGCAAAAAGGTAACCCGAAACAAATTAAATAAATCATTAAGCTTAGGTGGATATCCAACATGTCATTCAAATTTATATCAGCTTATTAAGCTGATCTAACTTAACAAATTAAATAAATCATTTTTTTTGGTAATCAGAAACATGTCCGGACTCGAACTCTTAGGAACCGAGTTGACACATCAAACCGGAGGAGTGCGCCACCGCCCCATGCAGCGACCCTCTCACAAGGATGGTCTAGCAGTAAGCGGATTTTTAAGAACTCTTGTGGTCTTGGGTTCGAATTTTACCCTAAATTTGAACCCTTGTGACTTGCTTGAGGTTGCTGCGTGGGG